GTGACTCCTTTCGCTGCATATCAATCTTGAACATTAGAATGAGCAACACAGATTTTAAACCATGTTATTAAGTATTGCGGCGGCCGTATCAGTGCAGTGGTGTCATCAGCTGCGGCATATATGACAGTCATTGTCCTCGCCTCACTGACAGGTGTCAGCTCTGTTGAACTGAGTCCTGCCCAGTCACACCTGCTAATGTCAACACCTGAGGTCACAGAGGGCTGTACACCTCAATCTTGCCTTTAACGCCTCTAACCACTGGTCTGGTGTCTATTTGAGCCCTCCTCCTCCCCTGACTTTTCATCTGTACCCTTGTTGCCTCTCTCACCACAGTGTCAGAGGTTCTCACCTTATCTGAGCTGCTCTTCTGCGATTTAAAGTAATTGCTAACCTCTTTAATGCCAGCCACATCCGCTCCTGTGATCCTGACTGGCTCGTTTCCTCAGTCATTAGGCCTGAGCTTCTTATCTCAGCAGCAATGTCCCCAGGCCTCTAACTACTGCAACACCATCTCCCTCCTATCTTCACAGCTGACTCGAGCTTTTTTTTGCCTCTGCCTGTCTTGACTGTCTCTCATTTAAACAAAGGGGACTGTAACATCTTGGATGGGAAACTTCTTCATATCTTTCAGTCATGTTCATCCCACCTCTGCAGTCACGTCTGCCCTCAGAGGAAATATCTGCAGTTAAGGGAATTAAGCTGAGCCTGTCAGTATATCTGCACCCACTCTGTGTCTATCAGACAGCTGGCCTCACTGCAGTCATGCTGATTGTTAGTGTTAGTCAGGCTAGGCTGTTATCTGTGTCCAAAGCAACGATGTTGGCAGCATGACAGCCTCTTCCACATTCACACAAACACACACAGACGCACATAAACTCAAACAAAGCACACTCAGTCATACCCGTTTACAGAGATGCATATTTGAGTGTAATTTTAATCAGTGACATCTAGAATGAGGTTGCTGTGTGACGGCTGTGGCCTTGGGCAAAACACAAAACACTAACTAACTGTTCTTACTAGGATTTGTGTAATCCAATTAAATGATAATCTACAGCGTGGATGACATTTGACAGACTTATGACTTTTTCATCAGGCACTCCGACTCACTCGATTTATGACCTGTCAAATGTCGTTAGCGGCAAAGTTTGTAACATCTTCGACGGCTTTCAACACCCCCACCTCCGCCCAGAAAAATCCTCAACCTAATCAGTTTATGACCCAGAGAATATTTTCAAAAACAAATCTGTAGTCTGTGGTTGTTATAATTATATGTGTTAAAATCTTTGTCGTTTATCTCTGTGTTTTGGGTTTTTTTGTTCGCAGACTCAAAGCAGAATGAAGATGATTGCTGATAACTACGAGGAAGATTACATCCATCCCCAGCATCACCCTCATCATTCGCACCACATGCACCCAGCAAATGTCCATCACCGAAGCTTGCCACGAGCACCTCTCCACGCCAACCACCGACCCCCTGTGGAGCAGGTCGGCACGAACACGCACGCGACTTAGAAATGCGTTCAGAGCTGTTTACACAGGTTGACGTGACGCAGGCTCTCGCCTTCATGATTTTAAAAGCAATTTAAATTTCATATTTGTCATTTCACCACGAGTCAGTTGTGGTTAGAACTGACAGCATGAAATTTCCCTTTTCTTTTTCCCTCAGTCTTTTCTCTCTCAATTCCATTTCTTCTTGCCAAAATTATTTATATCATTTAGAAAAATAGGCCTGAAGGGGACACATGAGTGTTTTTGATTGAAGGTATTTCTATGTGAGATTAGTTTACGTATCATTTATCTCTCAATCACGCTCACATCCAGCCTTGCCTGAGGACAGACTTAATTTGGTTGTTTGAACACCGTTAACGGATAACAAACTGATTCTGTTAGTAGCCCAAAGTTTATGTATATTTCCCTGAAAACAGTGTAAATGTGCATAAGCATGTGCTTGCCTGTAGGTATGCATTCGCAGACGCATGCAGAGGTGCACACCTGAGCCTTTGTTGATGTCATGTAAGCACACGAAACCACTAACAGGAGAGAGGAATCTTCAAAGAAAGACGGAGATGATGACTGCCACAGCACCGACTGATAAAACTTCTTGTATTCTGCATGTAATTTAAACTCATCACAGCTCTTTTCTGCCACTGATCGGGGGGGATTCCAAACTCTGAACATGTGTGCGCGTGGTAGATTGTGGGAGGGTTAAGATGAATACCTGGGGATTTCCACTGAGTCGAATTTTGTTTGTTCTATTCGATATGCATTATTGCATCTTTATATACTTTACATATTTCTCAAACCTCTTTCTAAAATGGAATCAACCATGCAGCGGGCATCCCCTGCATTCAGTAACTAAACACACACGCACGCTTCAAAGCACACAGCTGTATCCATGCATCACCCCACACATACCTGAGCAACATGTAAGGATTTCAATACATTTTTGCTGTTAGCGCCTGTGAATCTAAAATACATGCATACTTGCAGCGTTCAGTCTAAATCTATATCTGAAGAAAGTCTATAGGAATGCAGACTATGTTCCACTGAAACCACCTTGTAACCCCACAAGCACTACTTTAACACCTTGCTTGTGTTCTCTATGTTATGTTATATTTTAAATTTGCCTTGGTAAAATATTATCCCACTATTAAACCACATTGTTTCTTCGTATCACTTGCAGCCACAGTAGACTTTCTCCTGAACTGTGAACAGCAGGGGTTTCGTTTTTACTATCACACATTACTCCACGTCACTTTGTACTTATAAATATCTTTGCCTCAGTATGACTACCCGGTGCAGTTTTACTGCAACAGTGTTTATAGTGTTTGACATATGAAACAGTGCCTCTCTGCAAGTGATACTTCAACTTTTTCAAGTTGGACTGAAAACAGCTTGCAAAAAAAGTATTATTAGGGTTTCTGGGAAATCTTGTTACGAATGTACAGAATAACAAAATAAGTCATAAATCTGTGGCGATTGGCTGGATTATCCTCACTGCTAAGGGTGAATTTTTATGTCTATACAAGAGAACTGCGATGGCTCTTCCTTTCTGTGCGGCGTTTGGGGGAAAACGAAAGCCGAAGATTAAAACGCAACGTGCAAGAATAAGAAAAGGAATGGGAAAATGTTCACAGAGAACAGATTAGACCTTGGATTAGAGAAAAGAAATTGTGAAATGTGTGATAGCAGTTTTCTCTGCGGTAACGATGAAAAATCATTCTCTGAAGTCTGGAAACTAGTTGTTGCCGTTTCCTTGGAAACGTCTGTTCTTGCGAGCTTTGCTATTCAAACACACTTTAATGGTTTTGCAAAGTCTGACGTCAAACAGATCACCGCGTTGTGTAAACTTTGTAAAAACTCACTTTAAACTAAAAGTGGCAGCATGTCGGGCCGGTCGCAGCCCACGAGACAAAAGGACGCAGTGGAATGGGAGAAATGTCTGTGTCTGAAATTCAGATGCTAACTCCTGGCCTCGGTCATGACTCAAGGAAAATAACAGACGCCCTCGGTTTTCAGTGTCGTGACAGGTCAGGGCACTAGCAGAAGGAAATCGCGGGCGCATTTTATATTTTGAAAGATATTTCCAGTTTTGAAGACGCTGACGTTACTTAGATCCTGATTTTACTTCGATGCTGATAACGATTTAGCCAGCGTGGAGACCGTCCAGCTGCAGATGTTTTACAGAGTTCATTTCCCTGTTTATATGTTATTTGTTATTGTTGCACATCTGCTCCAAGTGTTTTCTCTTTACCATGTTTGAAAAAGGGTGAAGGATAATAGCCTTGTTAGGGTTCTTTCCTTTTCTTTTTTATAACTTTAATTGAAAAAAAAAATGCTAGTTTTTTGCCCTGGTTGCATTGCCACAAAAGAGAAACATGAACGTGTCAGTCAACACTACATCTTCACCTTCCTGTTCTGCATTTAGGATTTTTTGGTACCCTTGTGTCAAACACACAGTTTAAAATGACCAGCAGACCCTGTTGACAGATGTCAGATATGCCACCTCATTGTTTTTTCCTCATTTCTGATCTTTGACCTTATGGGAAACTTCAGCAATTAACTTGACTTCCCTGAGGTCATAGTGTTTATCTCCAAACACTGGTCTTCACGTTTCTTTTGCCTCCTTGCAGTTTAACTGACATGTTTAGTTACGCTTTTTCCCCCAAAAAACATGTTGTTCTGTCTGTCTGTCTCACCTCTAGTTGATATTGTTTTGCCTCTGCTCGTGATTTATCCACTCCACCAATTTCTGTCTTTTCCTTCTTTAACATCTAGTGACATCTCTCTTTCTCCATTTCCTTACTGTCCCTTCTTTTCCTCCGTCATTCCCATTTCAGTTATAATAAACAAGTGTGGCTAGGTCAGTGGTTCAGTCCGTTGCCGGGTCCAGGAACACCACTTGAAGGATGATTGATGATGATAATGATAATGATGATGAAGAGGCTCTCCATGCTCACCCTAGAGACCACAATGCTTTTCCAAGATACAGCTAGTGCCATGAATAACATACCAGTGACCACACATGCACTTTTTTTTTGCAATGCGTTTGCATTTGCACGTGCTCACACACACACACATACGCGCTGCAAATTTAAGACGCGTGAGCACACATCCATGCGCTGGCATGCTGGATACACAAACACGAGAATACACTTTCAAGTTTTCCAAGGAGCCAAAACCACATCTCATTCAAATCTCATTGCCACAGTTATCAGGTTCAAACCAATCCTCTAACTGTACTCCCAGGCCCCTGCTTAATTAGTAATGGAGTTAGTGAGAGGACAAGTGAAAAATACTCTGAGGTGACATGCACAGGATGTGGATTTAGCACCCTGGGTTTGTGTCTCAGCATGGAGTCTGTGCAGTTTGACGGGCATGTTGCGTTCATGTTGCTCTCATTTAGGCATGCCAGCACCGCTGCCAGATGCTTGGCAATAGCCTCGGAAGGAAATAGAAAGCAGCCATAAAGTGTTTATCAGAGACAGAATTATACAACCTTTTCTTTTAGATTGTTGTTCTTTATTCTAAGTCCTAACATGCTGGCTGCTTCAACTTTATGAGAAGTAGCACATGGTATTTGGCCTGTTTGTGTGTCTGTGTGTGTGTGTTTAACCTGGCAGAATGAGTGGTTATAGGTCTGGCTCTGTTTACGGGGCCTGTCACAGCCATTCACTGCACGTTAGCTTTTAGCACGTAGCATGTTCCATTGAAAGGCCATTATATCTATAGCTTAGCTGCTGAGATGTAGCCTACTGAGTTTACCGAGCTTGTCACAACTACTCAGTTCAACCAAAGCCACCGTGGAGTACAGCCAAGATTTTTTTTTTGCTGGAGTGTCACATTAGCATAGACTCTGCTTTACTGAAGCCTATTTTAGCATTGTGCAGGCAAGGGTTTGGCTATAGTGAGCTGCCAGGACATGCTAACTATCATATTGTAAGTGTCTAAGTGAATTAGCCTTCTGGTTAGCAGGGCTCTTGTCTGCACAGTTTCAGTCTAAAGGAAACACCTTATGTGTTTAGTTATTGGTTTCTAACAATCACACTGAGGAATGGTGATATCATGCACAGCTTTTCTGAATGAGAGCATGAGCAGGATTGTTTGGATTTAAAGTCATCGGGGTTTAAGGCTGGACAGGGAAGTTAGTTAATGAGACTCAACCCAATAAACCAGAATTTGCGCAATGAAATGATAAGAATGATGATGCATGTTTTTACTGTTCACTCACAGGATGATGAAGAGGGAATATGGGCATGATGACCACCAACATGACCACCCACATCCGTTTCTTCACAGTGAGTTTCCGCACAGCTGTTGTTACACCTTAGGCTAGTTTTGAAGTTAACATTAGCCCTTGCCAGAGTGTCATACTGTACATGTGTTCCAAATACTTTAATGATCGTATACACAATGCGCTTCTTCGGTAGGCTTGAGTAACCATTAGACAGGAACACTGATGATACCACAATAACCACAGCATTACCCAACTCTGACACAGGAGAGTGGAATAGAGCCGACTTTTCCATTGCTCGGGGATGTTTCATTCAGTTTTATGTATATGTTTAGAGTTTTTAGGCTGCTTTTCAGGGAAGTGTTCATATGCTGATTGTGCTGAGTGTGGCGCATGCACTCTGGGCTCTATAGGAAACTGTGTGTTATTGGACCTATATACACCCAGCAGCCTAAAGCGAACATACCAGGGCCCATAGGTGATAAAAACGACACAGTGAGAAAAACCAGAGATGGATGAGTCTGTCTCTCCGCACCCCACTTTTTCAGTCACGGTAAAGTTTTACCGCACTACTCCACCCTATTGTGTGCCAGTGTGTGGGGTAGCTAATTATAATACAACACAGAACAGCCATGAAAGGGTTTTTTTCAAGGCTGAAAGCTAAAAAAGCATAAAATGAAGAATGTCAAGTCATAAAGCATAATTCCTGTTTGGGGAGTTTTATATCGAAGCCCCCCCCCATGGGCTTAGGGTCCCTTTGAACACAGACGTGCAGCAAGAGGTCTGTGCAGGGAGGTAATGGTTTGCTTCGAGCTAATACGTGTGTGTGTGGTGTAAAAGAGACATATAAATGTACATATGAGGGACAACAAAGGTAGGGAAAGCGAGATGAAAAAAGCAAAAGGGCCCTTATGTATTTATGTGGGAATGGGAGCGAAAACCAGGCTGCATAGTGTACTCATAGTTTCCAGTGCATCTCATTCCTTTCCCCCAGTAATCCACAGGTGGACCATCACAAGCAGACTCTGCCTCTAACCTCAACAACTTAGAAGTTGTGCACTTTGCCCCAGCACTGCTTTTGGGATTAAGAGTCCTATAGCGTGAGCAAATGGTTTGCCTTTCTGCAGTGCAAAGCGTTTGTGTCTTCAGCCACGTTGTTTGTGTGCGCATTCGCAAGTGCTCGTGTGTGTGTGCATGTATGTGTGTTGAAGTGAGTGTTGGTGAGCTATACAGTGGCGGAGCAGCCCACATAGCCTATAATCCAGTCCATGTGTGCTGAGAATGCAGCAGTGTCAGGATTCACCGTAATGAAACAGACCACACTGCCCCCTTTCTCCCTCTCTTTCCATCTCTCCATCTTTTTTCCATCTCTCCTGCTCTCTCCACCTTTCTTAGGGTTTAACTTTGCCCTGCTCTAACACATTTTCCTTAAGGTAAATCTGGAATTGGACCCATGATTAGCCTACTGCTTTAGTATCTCCAATCAGATATCATGATCTTCTGCGTATACTTGTGTATTAGTTCTTCTTATCCTAATCTAATAGAATAAGCCAGGCACATTAGCCTTTGGTGCAGAGTGGTGTTGTGGCTAGCGATATCAGTGCTGCTCATCTATCCACTGCTGTTATTCTGGCAGTGCAAAGCACGAGCGCAGCTAACGTGTATTAGCCATCCTCTATGGGAGAACAGATGGGAGCTATTCAGTGGTATGTAGCTACAGCGCAATAAGGCCAGACCTAATCCCCATATCCTGTCCCTGAGTGAGCCCTCCCTAATATGAGCAAACAGAGATGACAGCACCGATAGACAAATAGCCAGGGATCTGTGTGTCTGGGCGCTTGTGTGCATGCTAGATTTGATTGGTGTTTCTTATGGATAACCTTGGGTCCCGGTGCTAGGCTGCATTCCACAAGAACCTAAGTGCTGAGTTTGAGTTGGCAACTTTGAGTTCTAAACATCCAGGTGTGGATTTGTATTGGTTAGCCATGGTTCTGTCTTACAGACTCTGATTGGCTCATTGAGGCTGTGTATGTCCTGCTGTTGATTACAGAGGTTTTGTTTACCCGCTGGCCTCCTAGACCCCACCTCTAATGAAATAAGAATGTCCTTTTGGAGTGAGAGCAGAAGAGAAGGGGGTCAGAGGAAAAAGTGAGGGAGAACATGAGGCCAAAAGAGTGAAGCACAGTGTGGGGGGTTTCTGGAAACATTATGCTTTTATCCCACCATGAAGCTATTTGTACTGAATAAAGCAAAAAGAAGCTCAGAGGCTTTCCGAGTGAGGACAGAAATGTGTTTGTGTACATGTATGTATTTGTGTTTGCTCACATGCATGTGTGTGCACGCACTTTGTTCAGGTTAAAACAAGTCAAGAAGATGGCTTTCATTTGCCCACTCTTTGTTCGCAGAGGATACAGTGTTTGCATGGCAACATTGTGTATGTTTGCGAGCATCCCAAGAGTGTCTATGTGCAGCGGTGGATTGCTAACCTGTTGATCATTGGCAAATTAAAAGTACATCTCAGAGCACGAGGGAGAACAAAGACAAGAGAAAAAAGCCCAAAATCCAAACTGTTTAAACCTGGAAGTATTTTTCTCTTTGTTGGTTTGTTTGTTTTTTGGATCCAGCCAATCTAGGATCATTAGGAAATGACACATGGTCGTGGTTAGCTAGCAAGTCAAGATGAAGTTTAGAAGAATGCACAACATAAACGACATTGTCAGAAACATCACAGTCCTCTTAATCCTCTGTCAGCCTATTGAATGGATTTTACTTAACAAATGGAGTGGACATGGAAATAATTAAAGGGCAGAGTGGAGCTGAAATCCAAGCCAGATTAAAGCACAGCAGCTTTGGGGGCCATGTGAGCAGGTAAAAGTTTCATCTCCTCATCTTCCTCCTGTGCACTGCAGGCCAGAGCTTACTATATCTTAGTCCAGCATAAAAGGACTGATAATTGTGTAGCTCTACTCTAACTCCGTGTGCGAGCCACATTCCCCATCCATACAGTTGTATCCCTTTAGGCACTTTCTGTATTACATACACACTCACACTTGCATCGGGAGTATTTTGGGCTTCAGTTATCTTGCCTGAGGACACTTTGACAGACACACTGGAGAAGCTATGGATCAAACCACTTCTTCTACTGAGGGTCTCTCAGTTCATGTTTTGCCTTGACAAAACATAGCTGATATGTTAGCGTCCAATTTCGTTAAGAAATAAATACAAAGCTGAATCCTAATCTTAACGAACTGTAACCTTGAACAAAGTTTGAGTTTTTTTGCTTTTTATATAGTGAAAGTGGATAGGGGGCCTTTTATGTCCCCAGAAGGAGGAATTCGCATTTAAAATGTCAGCAGAATACAGTATGTAGTAATATATGAAGTACTCCTGGTATGCACACTCACTCACCCTCAGAGTGGCAGAGCTGGCCAGAGCTTTCTGTCTGTAGTTTTGAGTCATAACCAGAAGACTGGGAGTGATGCTTTCTAGAGATTACTCCCCTTGAAGGTGTTGATCTCTTTAAACATACATAGATTTTAACTGGGATCTGTTCTGTTAAACATAAACACCAGATATCTCAGCCCATTGCATACTTTTAAGAGATAAAATCTCTTTTATCCTCTGTTTATGGCCATCAAACAAAGTTGCCCTATAGGTTTTCTTCTAGACATCACTATTCTGTGTTTTTTCTTCTTTTCTTGCAACAGCCTGCTGATTATAAATGAGCTCCAGGTATAAAATAAATATAAAGTTGTATGTGCATATCCATGAAATTGAGCTTTCACAGACCATAAGTGCTGTGCACCATAGAGATGGCTTCTGTAAATGCAGTTTTACAGCCCATAATCACAGCTGTCTTTATCTTCATAACAGACCTGAGACCAAAAGTTCCCAAGTAGTTGTAAAAGAAACTAACATCATATAAAAATATAATGTGATCATTTCAGTCTCACGTTGTTTATTGATTTCTAACTGTAAACAAAATAGCAACCTTAACTAGCTTATCACTACATCATTTAAACTCCCCAGCCAATTCAACAGGCTCCTCTTTTCAACTGCTCAGAAACGCAGGTTTCTAATCTGGCAGTCACCTGGCACATCGCAGAAACACATCACATGTAAACATGGTCAAGACGACTTGCTGAAGTTCAAACTGGGGGAGAAAGGTGATTTTCGTGACTCTGAATGTGGCACGATTGTTGGTGCCAGACAGACTGGCCTGAGAATTTCAGAAATCCCGGCAGATCAGAAACTATTCTACTGGGATTTCCCCACATTTTCTGTAGGGTTTACAAAGGATAGTTTGAAAACGAGAAAATATCCAGTTAGCAGCAGTTCTCAGGGCGAAAATGCCTCGTTGGTGCCAGAGGTCAGAGCAGAATAGCCAGACTGCTTGGAGCTGTTAGGAAGGCAACAGTAACTTAAATAACCACTCATTAGAACCAAGGTATGCAGAAGAGCATCTCTGAACACACAGCACAAAGAGTCTTGAAGCAGATGGGCTACAGCAGCTACACCAGATGCACTCTTGCAAGCTAAAAGCATGAAACTAAGGCTACAGTTCACAAAGGCTCATCGAAACTGGACGACAGAAGGTTGTTGCCAGGTCTGATGAGTTTCTACTGCAGAACTAAAAGAACATATAGACAGAGTCCATTGCCAGCCTCAACGGTATCAACCTTAGTACCGATTGAGCATTGTTTAAACGAGTATTGTTGTTGCGCATGTTCATTGATTTTCCCATCTACTGATGGCTGCTATCAGTGGATAATGATAATGCATTACTCCACAAAGCTCAGAGATTTTAAATTTGGTTTCTTGAACATGACAATGAGTTCGCTGTACTCGAATGGCCCCTACAGTCACCATATGCCAGTCCAACAGAGCACCTCTGAGATGTAGTGGAATGAGAAACTTGCATCCTGGATGTGCAGCTGACGATTCTGCAGTAACTGCAGAATGTTTGCAGCACCTTGTTGAATCGATGCCACGAAGAATTAAAGCAGTTTTGAAGGCTTGCTGGTACCAGCTGGGGATCCAACCCAAAACCAACAAGGTGTACCT